GCCTTCTTGTATATTCAGAGCATGATCTTTGGATACAATTTTCTCCACGCAGAGGCCTGCTCCCTCTACTCTGACAATGGCTTGTGAGAAACCCTACAAAAATCAATTCTGAATGCAGATCTTGATTTTTAATCCTTTAATTTGTATGTTTTAATTTGCAAAATAATACATAAAGGGAAAAAAATAACTCAGTAATCACCGAATAAGTGTCTGTTTGAATATAAAAGATGGATATTGGTATAATGTCCTATGGTGGTCAAATGTTTTCTCTGGAGGAGCTATGATATACTGGATCCAGCATTTGATGCATTACAGCTACCATGTTCACAAAATTATAGGTTACATGCTTGTGTATGTATGTGTATGCATGTGTGTGTGCATGTGTGTGTGTGTGTGTGTGTGTGTGTGTGGGGTGTGGGGGGGTGGTGGTTTACCAAATGTCACCACAATGTTATTAAAAACATGTTATTTTGGCCTAAAATAGCCAACATATTCTGTTTGGTTACTTATGGTTAATGTTAGGTATGGCTGGGTGTGTGGATTATGTGTATATTGCATTGTGGGGACCAAATGTTACCTACAATGTAATTAAAACATGTTCTTTTGATGTTGTGGGGACCATTTTTCAGGTGCCCACAAAGGTCTGTAAATGCAATCAAAAAAGTAGAAATGTCAAAAGTCTCATATTTTATTTGATTACTTATGGTTAAGGTTAGAGCTGGGTAAGGGTTAAGGTCATCCTGTTGGGATTTCCCCATAGAAATGAATGGAGAGTCCCCACAAAGATATAATTACAAATCTGTGTGTTTGTGTGTGTGTTACAGTCAATTGCCTAAAACCTAAACTAAAACCTTGCCTCCATAGATTTAGTATTGCCAGAGTATCCCCATATATATTGTGCAACAGTATGTCACAATGAAGAGGGATTTCCTGAGTGAGTCGGTAAATCATACCTGGGCAGACTAGTATCATTGTCAGGGTGAAATCTTCCACAGTGTCTTTAGGGAAGCTGAGAGAATGGAAGGATAAAGGCCAGCAATGAGGATCCCCTCCCAACGGGGCGGCTGCCCCTGTCAAACAGCACTGCAGGCCACTGTGATTTATCTCAATAATTGCGCAAAGAATGACCCTGGCTGTTATGCTATTTACTCCACAATCTGCCTTGTTAAATTCACCACCAGCGTGCCCCCAGCGAAGGACCACCCCTCGAGGTCTGTGGCTTGGCCGCACAAGGCGAATGACCCATAGGGAAGGTAGGTGAAGCAGAGTTCTTTTCAGTAGCTGGGAGGTCAAGGTGAGCAGCTTCACCATGTGGATCACAGCTGGAACATGCCGCCCTACAAGCTTTACCTCGAAGTAGTGAAGACCTAAACTGTCTACTGTTCTAAAGCAGGTTCTGATACGAGTCATTAACCACGTCCTTAACATGATCCAAGGCATGCTTGGGGGTCCCTGCTATGTGCAAGCGCAACAAACAATATAGTAATACTGGGAAACATGTCATGACCCCCTTTGTGAAATTCTTAAATTGCTATCCATGCATGATGGTTTAGCTGGTTGTGTCTTGATTGTACACCTTTAGGACTATAGATTTAAGTCCTGGCCCATCTCTGGGTGTGTGCATTTTCATCTTGCAATCTTTCATTGCAGCGTTTATTGAAACTTTCCTTTTACGATGTATAAAAGGCAATATAAATCATTTAACCTGCACCCACAGACAACTAAAACCACCAAAAGGCAGACTGTCGACAGATATTAGCTGAGTTGGCTACCAACTGTTTAAGTGTCAGACTTTCTTTGGTTGAAACCCCTTAAAGCAGAGTATCTATCATTAGTGGGTTGATGGCATCGTCCCCAACAGCTAGAAAAGATAGTGGACTGCTAGTCTGAAATGTTGTGCATGCAGACTGATGCAGAATGATTCGTTAGATTAGGCATTCAAATTAAGCATGCCCAGAAGACTTCTTGAAACTGGCTACATAGTGCCAGAGGATAACAGACCACCCCTTAGTAAAGTGGAGGGTACATCAGGCGTAATAAATATATATATAACAAATCAGAGGAAGAGTATTGCCTCACTCTCAAGCAAGCATTCAACTTCCCCCACAATGTAGGCCTTGTGGGAAGGATTACACCCCCCAGTGCTGGGATGCACATACGGCCTGCCTCCACATTGCCTAGCCTACACTCACCTTCCTTTGATTTCCCTGCATTAATGCTGCGTTACTTCAAAAATTACCTCATTTTTTTTTAGTTGATAACTATAAAAATATGTTGAATACAGTATGTTCATTTTTAACTTTCCTTAGTACTTTTTCCTAGGTGTTAAATAAATTTGATCTCAGTCATCTTTTCATAATCTTTTCAGTGGTCCCCTATGAAAATATAATCTAAGGCATATATCTTCATTACAAAGGTGGCAACTCATGTTTGTACGTTATTGATATTTCACGCCCACTATCCCGCAATCCTGTGGCAGTATACGAAAACGAGTGATTCAAGTGATAAGTTTCTGGAAAAATAATGTTATTTGCCTTTTCATTGGCTTTCCTCTTTGAAACTGCTGAAAATAGGAATTGACTCAACATTCAGCAAAACCCACAGGCTAGATAACCCAGAATTCACAGCACAATACAAACATATTCTGTTAAAAGGAACTAAGATTAAGTTAAAACCAGGATTTTACATACAAGAAGATCACATAAATAGCTGCATTTGATTTCTGCAAACCTTTGCGGTGCATTGAATGCATTGCTCTGGTGATTGATCAACAATTGCTATTGGAAATTTGATATTTTTAGGTTTCTGTTAATAATAATATTAGCGATAGATGAGGTCAGAATTTTGTAGGACTCTACTTAATGTTTTTTCTCCTCTGGGTTGCTGCTACCTATTTGTACTGAAAAGATCCTTTTAAAAGCTTTTTTTTTTATGTTGTTTTGAAAAGAAAAATCATTACATATGTTTAATTCCAGCTAAACATTAGCAGCTAATTGTCTCATTAGCACTCATTCTAAAGACGTAAAGAATGTGGTCAAGGAAGGTAATTTGGATGCACAACTAACTTTATGTAAAGTATAGATACATATAACCAGAAAGAAAAATATTTTGGCTTTCTTAAGTGAAGGACTTTCATTTCCGCTGAAGACTAATTGGCATTTACTTAAAAGACCGTAATGTAGGGCCACACAGAATTCAAATGCAAGGTTTAACCACAGCTTTGAAAAGCGGTAGCGAGTTTTAAAGTGCCTTCCATCAGTAGCCGCCTGAAACTTCCATAATGCTGTTTTACTGTTATCCATCCATCCATTTAGCCAGTACAAGGGCACAGTGACCATGACTTCCATCCCAGGAATCACAGGAGTTAAGCCAGGGGACATTCTGGATAGGACGCCCATGCTAACTGCTATACATATCTATCTTTAAAATATATTTACTACAAAATGAATGAACTGAAAAATACTTACCATTATTTAAGGAACCGTAGTATTTTTCAGATTTTTATACTCAGGATTATTTGTGATGTGACTCATATTAAAAGGGGTGGGAAGCAAACCTTGTTACCCCCATAACCCGTCAATTATCTTTCACCATTTATCCATTTAATTGCAGGTTGACAGTGATTTTTGAGCCTTTAACATGTCGATAATTCAACATGTATGCACAGGGTGCTATAGAGACATCATTCCACCACATGTGTGCCTGTACGCTGTGGGAGGAAACTGGAGAACCCAGAGTGACCTCCCCCCCACAAAAAAATAAATAAAAAACACAGTAAGAACATGTAAACTCCACAGGCACACAGGCCTGGGCGGGAATAAAACATCACAGCCATCACTGTGGTCTGCAGTCCTATTATTCTGTCTCAAGTAACAATTATAAAAAGGATTTAGCAGCCATACAATATACTGTAAGGATCGGCGACAGTATTTCCATTCACAATTTCCTGTAACAGTTCCATGAATCATTCGTTCCTGGGTAAAATATGTGATAGTGTGTTTTAGGGAATTATCACTGAAGAGACAACAAACTGGAATGCAGATAATGCATCAACAAGATAGGGGAATTTTTTTGAATCAGTTCTGAATCCTACAAAGTGAATCCTTTCATTACCTCCCTGACAGTCTGACAAAGATGCACAGTGTCCGTTAGGCCTTTTTCTCTATTTGCATTGCTTTTTCTATAAGTGCATAATACCTGAAGCCCCTATACAGTAGTTCTTGTTCACACTAAAAGCTGAAGCCTTTAGCTCCGATCATGTTTTGAATCGGGGCTGTGCCATTTTGACCATACTGTAAGTTCTGGAGAAGGAGAAATAATTGGTGTGGTAGAGACACGGGAGGGCGGGGATAAATCAGCGAGGGTGTCTTATCTGACTGCTATACAAGCAGTCTTCACTGATATGTCAGGCATCTGCAATTTGATGGCGGCGCTGGGGGGTTGCATCGCTGCTCAAATTTACTCTTTGGTCTCCTGTGTTCCGCCATGTGTTTCAAAGTGTGAAAAGTGTCATTGGCAAGAGTGTTAATCAGAGGAGCAGCAGTCAGTTGCCTTTGGCTTTGTAACAGGCACAGAAAGAGTGCAGACAGACAGCCTAGTCTAATCTGGAAATGACTCAATCACTATAGGGCTGACACACAGGAAAAAGGAAAAAAAAATCTAAATGAAATGCATAAAAATGTGAAATGTGACACTGAAATGTGAAAAATTGCCCTAATTGGAACTCTTCTCATTTTGCTTAGTTACAACCATAAACTAACCTATTTGTTCACATATTTAAAAAGGGGTGAATTCATTGGTAGTAATATTGAAAAAAGATTCAGCTGGAGTTCTTATTTTTTAACAGAGACTTTCCAATTTGCATGTATGGGATGCCATTTTGTATGTTTAAATGGGGGGGGGGGAGATGGTAGAAGGTTGAGGGGTACCTAAGGTGCTTTTACAGTGCACAGGAGAAAGAAGATACAAAATTCATCCACAGATAGGTAGAAACCATACTTTATTAGGCTGTGTAAGATGTATGAATGATGTTGTGAAACAAACTGCCATCTGGAATTGAGAATACATCTTAATTACATGATTTATTATATTATTCAGGAATGTAGTTTTAAGAAATAAATCAAATTCATGTTGCAGAAACAGATGATGCACTGATTACATGTAGAAAAGGTCACAGATTAGATTAAGCAAATTTGACTGAGTTGAGATTTGTGAATTAATGAAAAATATATATAATTATATAAGCTCCGTTCAAACCTCTAGATCTGAAGAAGCAGAGCAACTCCAGCAAGGGTCCATTTGGATGGGTTCTCCTTGGTCTTCAGGCTGAACGTCCACACAAACGTAGGCCCTCTCTGCCTGGTTTTGTACACTGGGCACTGGTACACATTGCGAGTCTCCTGCTTGTCTACAGGAATGGCTTTTATGAAGATGACAGGCATTGATGGAGTCAGCTCCTTCAATCGGGCTTCGCTTATTATTCCTGCCTGCAGTACAAGACATCACAACACTGATTGTTACAGAAGTGACATGTTTTCAGTTTAATGCATTCCACAGTTAAGCTACACTGCAGCATTAGGGTTATACATGAAAATTACTACTAACTGCATTTTACTTAAAAATTAAAATTCTTATTCCAATTGTTTAGTTTTAAATAAGATAGAGGTGTTTTATAGTTTCCAATAGTATAAATTATATGATTTTGAATGTGTAGCTGAGTGATCAGAAGGCCATCGGTTTGAGCTCAGCATCAGCAGAATAGTCACGTCTGTGGACCCTTAACCCCTAATTCCATGGGCACTGCTGCAGGTGGCAGCCCTTTGCTGCCAAGCTTGCTCTCACCTATGTATGTGTCATGGAGAGCCAAATGAGGTAAGAGAAAAGAGAATTTCTCCATGGGGATCAATGAAGTCATCATAATTTCATTTCAAATGCATTGAAGGTTAACATATTTTTCCTAATGCACCCTTAAAATGTGTAGAACAAGCACGCTCTTTGGAAAAGGAAAAAAAAACAGACACCTACTCCTTCAAGATCATTTTGGAAGTAGAGATGGCAATATTAATTCAATAATTTACTATGAGCTCTACTGTTCGATACTGGCAACTGAATCAATAGCTCTGCAATTTGCCTTAAGGATTTATTTTACACTATAGTGAAAACTGCTCAGGGGGTTCTTGCTATAAATGTATAAATGGCAATTTTGGTAGCTACAACAAAATTTACACAATACACAACCTTAGATTTATAAAATTGAGTGCTATCATACAGTGAAAAACATATTGACCTCAAATTCCCTAAGAAGTCTAATTGTTTTAGCCAAAGGCAGCCACTCAAAGAAAACTGTACAGTAAATGCATGTTAGAATTATTCAGTATTTCTCTCTAAAACCTTCAGCATACGTATGTTTAAGAATCCAGAGCAGTACGGATGTTCCGTGTCACTGCTATGCCATTCTTTAATCGTATAATCCATTTGTCCTGTAATGGAAGTTTAGACCCTCCATTCGGCTGTCTGAATTTGAATTTAAGGATACATCCTTTCAGAGTTCTTCCATGGTAGTTGAAACCAGGCTGACATTAAGAACCCTTGGCATTACAGGCTTTCACTAAACACACATGGAATTGTTTTATATGACATATGGTCTATAATTCAACTGCCCGATGAAAATCTGTGCACTGTTAAGACTTGGAATTTACTTTCTGAGATTGTACGAATACAAAGGTAAAGGCATATGTGCCACTCAGAAGTCTAATGTATCTTTCAGCCTTACCATCTGAACACACAGCATACATTCCAAGTGCCCATAATTCAAAAAAGAAAATATGCATCATGTACTAGACCCTAGTACATTATAGTAACTAGGGTAACTACTCAATGGACCTGATTAATCACAAAAAAATGTGTAATTTCACTATGGATTTGGATTTGCTGCAATTTATTGTGATTATTAGCTCTTTTTAAATGTTTCAATTAATACTTTAAGCAAATATCAAAACAGCCCATAACAAAATTAAGTATTAGTTCAGTATATATGCAATACATTTTCACCAAAATGAGGCTGTACACGTCTTTGATCTCACACTCTCACTGTTCATTGATATGGAAAAGCATCATGGCGGACCTCAAACCCCAGCTGATCAGCGCACGCTCCTTTCTCCATTCAGCTTCACAGGATTGTGATAAATATGCAAAAGCGGTGCTTGAGTAGCAACACATGTGCATCCTTCCCTTTCCCATAGCAAAACACTTTCTGACTTCGCATCTATTCAAAATTCACACAGTACATGAATAATACATGATGCCACTATGGTATATTATAGGACAAGCACAGAGAGACGTTTTAGGCAGCAAGCAGAATGGTGTTTCTCTACCCTGGAAACATTTGCCTCTGCATTACACATCTTTTGTGTCACACTTTCTGCTGCCATGCTTGTCATGAGTCACAATTTTAAACAGATCAAGACGTCCACTGAACTTTATCTGCAAAACAGCACGTCGGGGCTGACAGTTCTCATCTTCTTCCTCACATGTAGCACGCTAAGCTCTGAGGATTGTCAGCACCATTTTGCTTATTATATGCAAGATGGTTTGGATAGCTTTTGCCTGCAGTGTACTGGGAGCCCATCCCTGTGCTGGCCAACTTAGCAAGAGAAAGTAAGAGTTCTTTGTTTTCTCAGATCTATTGATTTCTTTGTATAGCACAAAGCTCCCTCTCAAACTCTTCAGCGGCTCGTGTCCAGCACCATTCAGTCATGACGCAGTATGAGGTTGTACGTTTTTTTCTGATTCAGACACATCGACAAGCTCTGTTAGGCAAGCTATTCAGTTATTCCGCACAAGCTTTCAAAGTGACTTGTCAAGGGGAGATCTCTCAATATTGTTAAAATATAGTGTCACTTGTGGCACCTTACCTTTCTCCTTACTGCTTATCTGAAGAGAAAATCCACTATACTGAGGCTACAGTCAGTTTCCCTGCATGCAAAAGAGAGAGCCCTTGTCCAGGTATTGAAACTTAAATTCTTCCCGGACTCACATTTGTATCTAACGCAGTACGTTCACCATTTAAATCATGTCAATAATTACATCAGTTTCACAAGAAATTTATTTCATGAAGTACATTGACTGCTTGATTGCTTTGTGAGAATCTAGTTCAGGCTCATGTTGTATCACTTAAACTTTAGAAGTATATCCTGCATAAATAGGATAATGCACAACATTTCATTTCTCCCAGAGAAATGGCTATGCAGATGACCTCTAGTAAATGGTGATCTGTAAGGTTGACTTTCCCTGTGGTTTGCATTTTCACATGGCAGCTAACTCACACACTCAGATTTTAGACTGGCAGACAAAACAAGGACCAACCTGATCCTGATCAGCATCTACCTTTGCTATTTTCTCTGCAATGCTGACAAAGTGATGCCAGCTTCTAATAATCCTTCCAGATTGATTCCCTTTTCTATTCCCTCATCAACCCCCCTCTTTTGTGCTTAGGGAAGATGATATCCCCCATTGTCATAAAAGCAACAATCAATACATTTCTCTGTCAATCCTCTCTACTCCTTGGTTTCTTAGCACCCTGACCAAACCCTAAATATACCAAAATAGTCAATAATCTCCTTTCCCTTGGTGTGTTTTCCCTTATGTGACACCGACCGCACTCATCAAATCTTGTAAACCCACAACATGGCAACAGAATCCCATTTTCTCTCCCCTGCTCCAGGATGTAACCTATTACATAATTCCCTTTATCTTCGTCTAACTCAACTTCCCGCATACAGCTGGCTGCCTCCCCTCAGGTTTCAGACTCTGCTTGCAAGCTTGTAATGTCCCCGTCTTTAGAAAATCACTCAACAAATCATCCTCACAGAATTGCCAGTTTCTTCACTTGCTTTCCTTATAGCGAGTTACTTTCAACTTCCTTCTTCGAATGGTAAATTACAGGCCTGTGAAACTAGAGTAATCCAAGACAGTCCTTCAATCTCTGACCAATATTTTCCACTAAGGATATGCAGCCTACACTCACATGTGATCTTCCTGGCACTCTATACACCAACCGATCAAATCGCCATTAGCGAACACTGGGAAAAAGCATTTAAGTTGATTTTTTTCTGTAACTGTTCAATGGAACTGACAAAATCTCACTTTACATAAATATCCAAGAAGACCTCATCTTACCGGTCATTCAAAATGGCTGAAGGTTCCAGGTGCATCAACAATAATTTTAAAACTTCTCCTAAGCTAACAACACCTATCAAATGACTTACACATCAGATGTTAAACAAAGAACTCAACCATTTCTAAAAAAAACACAGGCTACATTTCTCCATGCAAGTCACTATCACTGCCGATGTCTGCCAGAACAATGTTATGCTGGTAGTATTAGAAGTATTAGGTAGTAGAGTATTAAAAATCATAATATGCAACCATAATCTACAGAAGAATACAAACAGCTTGTTAGATTAAAAAGAGAAAATGGGGATATTTCTATTAGCAACATATAGTTTGCATACTTTGGTCCTTCAAAATTCTGTCACATTTGCTCATACTAGATTTTGGAATTTGAATGTGTACATGTATATTTCACATCATTAACAACATAGGAAAAAATTACAAACTACATTTGTATATAATTTTGATCTTTGAATTCAGAAAACTCATTCATATGAATGAGATGGTTATCAGAACCCAAACCCCCCCCCCCCCCCCCCCCCCCCCCCCCCCCACCAAGTCCAAGCCCAGAAGCAAATTCACTTTTGCATCTCGGTCCTTTCTCTAATATATGAAAAGCAGCCGTGCTGATAATTAAATCTTGCCTGTACCTACTGTTTTTATTTGGTAATTAATAGCAATACTAATGCAATTCACAGATGCCTTTAAGGAGAGCAGAATGTATACATGTTCTTTCAAAATTACAAGCACTCACAGGAATGAATGTCAAAGGTACTCAACACCGATTATATGCACCGACTGGAGTGTTTGACCTCTGACCTCAAATGATGATATTCTGACCAAGAGGCCGCCTGTTGTTGGGGACGTACCTGTATATCCCAGCGTGCTCCCTCCATGAAGAGGCCATGTATGTAGGCTCCCTCTCGTGGCGTGCTGCTGAACTCCTCTCGGCTCTTCTTGGTCACGTCGCACTGTAGACACATCTTGTCCAGCGGCCATTCATTCTTCCTTGCCATGGACTGCATGATGGCGGTGAGGAAGGACTGAGGATTGAAGAAGCCAGCCAGCCACACCGCAGATGGCAAGGTGAAATCCGACGTCCATGTTTCTAGCTCTCTGATGCGGTTGAGTAGGTCCATGAACCAGACGGCCAGCCCAGACATTGACGCATAAGCACGCTTTGTCCATGTATCCGGAACTTGGTCAAGAAAAAGGGAATTCTGCAGATTCTCCATGTCACTTGTCATTGTGAGCTCCCCCTAATATAGGTAACAAAAACAAAAACCTTTAAACTAAATCATTTCAAAGTACGTGAATTTTTAATAATTCAAGAAGACAGTTTGGAATCATAATGTCAAGCATACAAAAATGGGTGTGCCTTCTCTCAAAAGGGGAAGGAGAGGCGAACAAGAATCCAAAGTAGAGTAAAACCATATTAATGATCAAGTCTTCAGAGATACCGTATCAATACCATCTCAACAATATTTACTTTAGTTGTGGGGAGGAAACAAAGACACGGTCCTTAGGGCAAATGTAGAACCAAAATAAGCAGGATTGCAGTCATTGTTCATTGTGATGCCTTTAATTTAGTTTACAGCCAAACAATGAACTCAGTCACTCCCTTGCGTATTCCCCTAACTCCCTGATTCTCATGAATCACAGTGACCTCATTAACCGTTTACCGATGTCAGCAGTAACTGCCCCCAACATACTGTACATGCCAATAAGAAGCATACATGTATTTCTGCTAAGTAAATGGTGCATGACATGAAAACTGAGCTGTCTGCCCTCAGTGAAATATGTCACCTAGCCATGCTTGTTTCTTTAACATTCTTCAGTCCATAAACAAACGCAATATGAAGAAAAATATAACACATAATACATAATATAATATTCAAATGAAAAAATATTGACAAATAAGTGGAAGTAAGAAGAGGCACAAAATGTTATTCTTAAATTTAGATGTCCCACAATGAAAGCTTATGCAATAATCAGCTTATATGCCATTTGTGCATCCATCTTCCACATCTGCTTATCCAGCAGAAGGCTGCAATGTGCCTGAAGACTATCCCAGGATGCAAATGCATGTAGGACAGGAAGCAGAGGAGACTCTGTATACAATTACAGGCCATTGCAGGACACACTCATACAATCACTTGCTAAGGGCAAATCCGAGAGGACAATTCACCTGACCGCATGCTTTCTGACAGAAGTAACTCAGCGTACTTGGAGAAAACCCATAAAAATGAAGGTAGAACAGATAAATGTCAGACACAGAGCTAAATGTCGAAGTGTGAAACCACAGTGCTAACCACTGAGGCACCTTACACAACCTTATATAACAAAGAAATTATAGCCTATAAGCTCGTAGGGTTGAAAATGTTACTCTAACAATTTAACAAGCCCTATTGCAAATACCTTTAAAGAAACTTTCTGAACATTTACAAAGCCTTGATGTAGCTTTTGCTAATTTTTTACTGTACAACATAGTTTTAATAGACAAAGGGTTCGGAAAACAAAAAAATACCATAACCAAAAACAAAATTGCCCTATCGATGACATTGACTGTGGCACATGGCATTTTTTAAAATTAATTTTAACTAAAAATCCATTACCAATTATTTGAATGAAGGTTTGTTTTATCTGTATGTGGGAAATTAATTATTATACAGTCGCTCCCTATACAGTAGCATACTATATTTCACAAATATTGCTTTTCAGAAATGACCACTTCCACTACTCTGCAATGTCATGACCCGATCGTCCGCTCCTCCCGTGTGCCACGTCGCCTCATTAACCCTGTGTGGATTCCCCGTGTTTACCAGCTGTTCCTGATTGTTGTCATTAGTTCATTGTATTTAGTCCGTGTTTCCGTTTGTTTCCCCAGTCCGGTCATTGTATTGTCAATCTGTTATTGCTTGCCTTTCGTCTGATTAAACCCCGTGTTCTCCGATTCCTGGTTTCCTGCGCTTACCGTCGTGACATGCAAGATCTGGGCATCTGTTTACTGTGTTTTTTGGGTTGGTCAGATAATGTTTATTGAGAATTTTTTTTCTCTGTAGCATGAAGGACAACTTCTATGAAACAGTTTGCCCGAAAGCCTCCACAATAGCAATTTCAACATAAAAGCCCAGGGTTCTTAACAGGCAATAAAGCAGACTTGCTGCAAAGATTATAAGGGCAGATTATAATAAATATTAATACAAGAACTGTCAGCAAAAGACTATGATAGGATTCATTGATCCAGTAATAAAAACAACTTGGAAAGTCAGCAAATTCTTTGAGTATTTTGTATTGAATATAAATTTTTTATAAACACTCATTTTTTTAAAGCTTCTATCCTTCACGTCCACTGATTTTGTTAAAAGACTTGCACAAGAAATAAATGTATTTATACAATTAGTTTTAAAAAAATATTGATCTAGCTTGATTACAATGATACAATGAATGGCACATCTCGGTTCAAGACTATGAATTATCTGTGAAATTAACATCCACACAAAAAAAAAAAAATGATGACACTGCACTGGTTTTTCCCCCTGTGAGAGTGCCAGTGTCTGACTTAAATAAATAAATCAATTGAGGCCTATCCATCCATCCACCAATCCATCCATCTGTGTATTAATGATAAGTCACTTGCCTTCAATCCCAGACCAAGTTCTTTCAGGGAGCGCTTGATTTCCTGTGTTAGGATATTCATGTGCTCACACTCCTGGAAGGCGACCACAATGTAAGGTGTCCGATCCTCCACCTTCCCCATAAGCTCTGGGATATTAAACTCATCAGGCAGTCTCTCCAAAATTTCATCCAGAACAGACTTCACCTGTTGGGCAGCATGTGCATTATTGCAAAAAATCACAGCAATAATTGTACTATTATTATTATTATTCAGGATACAGATCTATTACAATGCTTATTAACCATAAGACAAAAAGAGTCTATGCTGTAGAATTGTTTTCAATACCGTATAAATAATTACAGATTTAAATATCCATTATCAGTTTAACCAACAGCATACTGTAAACCACTGTTGACTAAAAACCATATAACCATATTGATAACATGTTATAAGGATTAAATGGAAATATGAAACCGAAGGTGGTTCTAGTCAAATGACTATGGGAGGGAGTGGGGAAGTTTTAGTTTAGTAATAAATGTGCTCTTTATCTAGGAAGTTATGTGAGTAAGCACTAGAATCTGTCTCATTTTAGTATGATCTATTCTTTGGAATAGGCCGGAGTATTAGAATATAGCTATATTTCTTTCATGCTCTGTAGATAACACTTTGCGAAATCCTGTATGATTCATGAGTTTCAGGAAGTAGCTGGCCACAGGCAGCATGGCATAATAGAAAGATTATGTCATAATGCAATGAAAAAATTCATTGCCTAGCCACCATCACTAAGAACCAATTTATTATGTATTAATGGCTATAAAGACAAAAACCTGAACCACAATTATATGCTATATCCCTGGTTTTATTTTAGTTGAAAATTTGCCCCTGTGGGTTACTTCTTGAAAGAGACCCCATTCCCATCCATAGTACACACACACACACACACACACACGTATTTTACTGTGTTCAATACAAAAGGACACACACACACTTACTTATATTAATTACTACATTAATTAAAAAATAAAGTCAACATTACACTAGAATGCCATGTTTGAGAAAGGAAACAACAACCTACATAGAGACAATTGATACAAATATTTAAGAGAAGGCATCAAAATTCCTTCAAAACACAAAAACAATTGTGGTGGTGGAAGTGGCTCTCCACTGGATCTGTAAAGCGCTTTGGGTGTCTTCAGAATGGCTATATAAATGCAACACTCACTCATTCATTCAGGAAAGAAAGGGAAAAAAAACTAAGCAAGCAGTATTTTACTGGGAACAAAAAAGTAATTGAGGAAAGCCATTTTTAGTTATTCTGGAAGAGATTGTTAATTTGAAATCTCTCTCAACAGCTCAAACCTTTATCTTCCTTTCTGTGTAACCGACAACTTAAAATGAATTTTAAGCCTATTATGTCTAACTTCCGAACTCCCAAATGTCTCTGGATCAATGCCATGTCTTGTGTGCTTTTATTCATCGCATCGTTTTATATGCACTGTGCCTCTGAGCTGAGAGGCAAGTTACATTAGAACAACTTCAGCTCTTTCTATTGCAATCAGTACATGGATGAACTAAGCAAATTAAGCTTAGTATAAACTTTTTTGAAGAATAAAACCTTATTCAGGCCCTGTACAGGCTACAGTAATTTGGAATTGCGTTGCACTCAATAAGCTACAAAGTTAGAACAGAACAAAATAAGCTAGGTAATGTTAGATATTATGCAGGCTTATTATAAACCTGTGTTCTTGAACAATTATACAAACAATTGCTGGGGCTAATAGCTTTGAAAACCTACTATTTAATTATTTCAAGTCTATGTACATATAGAAAAAGGAATTAAACTGACCTTTTATTTTGTTCACACCAGTTCAGAAATGCTATGTTGGCATTTGAAATACAAGAACACATATATTGTTTCTACTTTGTTAAAAATTCTGTTTTTGAGCCTAGTTCTGCAGATGTAGATCTAAGGCAGGATCTGGGCCTCTGACAGTTTTATGAAGCTCATACAGTTCACCCTGCCATGTCATGTTGAAAGACTGGAGAAAAAAAGTGAATGCACAGTACACAATAACTATCTATAGTCATTTGTAGTATACATTTTATAGTGGGCAAGCAATCTTTTCTGTTCATCTTTCCGGGCCAATGGAAGGACTAATGATTTTGACCACAGCTGTAGATAACAGCATATTTACGCTTGGAAAAATCAGTCTGGACGCCACCTTTTTGGTACTATACATACGTTTACTTATGCCCGCAATTTGATAAGCATGCTCCGCTAACCAGATTTAATAAACATAAGGGTACGCCAAATTGATACGGATTATTGACTTTTGGGCATCACAATATGCCTCTCATTAATATTTTAGGCATACTACTAATCTGCTTATCAAATTGTGGGCATGAGTAAACATCAATAAAGTACTGAAAAGCCGGCATTCGGCCTATTATCTGGGCATACATATGCTGGTACACCCATTATTTAAAGCCCTATTTGACAGAGGATGTAAAATGCCGGGAGGTAAGGCCTACGTTAAACACATTTTCCTCATTCAGCAACAAGAACACGAAGATGCTAAACACACCTATTGATAAGTCTATGCTTTTGGCAGTTGTAAAGACATGAATGACCCTATTCTTAAACTCAAAAGGTCATCTCTCATAATACATTCTGGTGCACTGACATTGTTCTGATCTCTCATATTTTAAATGTCAGAATACAGCAAGGGGGTCTGGAGAAGATAGACACAGTTTGATCTGCTGGGACAAATGTGTGCCCGGCCTAAGTCATAAACATATAGCTGAGATGGTTTTTAAAAATTATTTTACTGTGTTCAGTACAAAAGGCCAAGAATGGCAGGCTAAATCTTTGTGTAACAGAAGCTCAAATAAGGGGTTGATGCAAAAAATTGTTTGGTAGATGATAAAAAGTGTTGGACGGGGTCCAAATTCATTTTTCATTATGAAAGACATTACATTTACAGATGGGAAAATTCAACTGAGTTTTCACAGGACAAAAGTCATTAAATTCAATGGGGAAGAAGACTACAAAGAAGCTCAAACACTATACATCAAATGTGCTTAGCAGTCAATAATGCTCCTACAAGAGACTAGCAGATTGAGGGCGTGGGAGAGATCAAAACAAAAGCTTTACTGCATATTCCTATAGATATTTCTGAGGAACTACCTGAAAACATCTGTCACAGCATTCTTCAGATATCTTTAGTCACAGAGAAAATTACTGAAGACAGGTTTCATTATCCTCAGCATGATCACTTTATAAAATGGGTTCCCTAGTCAGATATTTCACTTTTGCGCCTGAAGCTCACTGAAAACAAAACCAACCATCCAAATGTCCTCTGGCTTTACAATTTAAATGTAATATGGGCTCAGCCACATTGGTTGCAAACTCTGCTGACTGCCAGATTAACACTGTGCCAAAAGATCCAAAAGATCCACTGTGCCAAGAGTATCAGGGAAATACTGTCACAATGGAGGAATATGCTACATGAGTAACATCCATCCATCTTCTATCAGTACAAGATTTATTTTTTTGGGGTGGGGGGGTTTCGGGAGCCTACCCTAGGAAGCTCAGGGCACAAGCACATGGACATGAAACCAGTCTGTGACATTAGTGCACACACACACGTTTTCATATCTTTTTGGGGACCACCCATTAATTTCTATGGGTTATTTATAAAAAGCATCTTCAGACTATGGTATGCAAAACACTTGAGGAACATAAAAAACTCTATACACAGATGCACAGAGGGTGTTGGGATTCAGATCACTGACCTTGAGTCCCATAACAAGGTAAATACAAAGTGAAACTAGCTAATGTCTGGAGGTAGCAGCTATCTTACAAGCAAATGTGACATTGTTTCACTTCTATTGGTATGTTATGAACATTTTTTTTTAAAATTCAACAGAAATAATAAGCAGAAAAAAAATAACCACTAACGGAGCCAAACAGTGACTCAGAGAGTGATGTCCTTGTCTCTCACAAACGTCAAGTAATATCTAATTCCCAAAACAATTAACTTCAAATCTGTGATTATAGTCAGGTAGATAGGCACTACAGAAAAGTGCTGCTTGAAATCAGCTTAAGAGTCACAATCTTATCTTTTAAGGATGGTATTAGAAGACCTCTATAGCACTGTAAGAGAATTTATATGAAGTCTGTTTATGTTGTACTGACATTGTAAATCTTCAAATATTTTACATAATAATTTAAGAACACAAATCTATGTTTGCCTTAAAGTTCAGAGGACATAATATATATGCATCAGACATTATATATATATATATATATATATATATATATATATATATATATATATATATATATATATATATATATATGTATCAGAACTCAACCAGTTAATGTTATCTGTTAGATTTATTATGTATTTCTGTTAAATATGCTATATATTTCCATTTTTTTATGACACCACATGGCCGCATCATGTGTTCGCCTCTGAAAAAGATGGAAACAGTTAAACTTATAAAATCGGCAATTGACCTTGAAATTTTTGTCCAACGCAAATTGGTCCGCTACCTTCGTAAAGGTTGGGAACACCAAAGTCAGTAGATGATCTCCTGACTTATAAAGTCCCAGTGTGTTAAATTACTGTTGAAATGTGAGATTTCCACAATACATGGCAACGATGTAGTTTGAAAATTAGCCATATGCAATAGTATCGATTAACAGAGAAGTCAGAGTACAAGGTTGATATGCATGATCCTGGTCTGAAACCTTTGAAACTGAGGGAATAGCCAAAGGGGCACATAATGCTTCAGAAGATCGGCGCATATATACAACAGTACTATAGTGTCTGTAATTACTTTTTCATCTCTTGTACTCCCACTGCCCTCTCCTGCACTGCTGTCTCGGGGCTGCATCTCCAGCAGAGTCCGGAAGAGCTTCTCTGAGGTCTGGGTTAGGAATCCAATCTCGGCGTTAGGATGTAACCCATAAAGATACGGGGATTCAGCAGGGAGAGCATCATCGATGTACTGGTGGAAAAGCAACACAAACAGCACACTAAATAATATCTTTTTCTCCATGCAGGTAAAATTCATGTACAAATTAGTTAGTTAACTATTATAAACAAGATGGCTTTGTGAAAAAAAAAAATAATAACAAAAATAATAATGTTAATGGTGATTATGCCGTAAACAAGCATGCAAAGCTTTCTTAATTAAAACTGCAGCTCCACTGCCATTTTTCTTTTGGACTGCTGTGCTTTACAAAATGCCCTTCATCCACATCCCTGCCAATCAAGTGGCTGCCGCTCACACTGTATAACCTGTGATTTGGAGAAACAATCAACCGAGCACACTGGGCACAGCCTGACATGGCCGCCCCGCTGGCCGAAATTACATCCCTCTGTATTTACATCTTCACACATAGGTAGAGACGAAAAGAGAGAGAAACCCATTTCATTGTTACCTAGATGCTTCTGCTGGACATTAACAGCAAAGGCAAGAAGGAAACCAGGTAAGATGCAATAGTAAAAATGTCTTAATTTATCCCCTTGAAGGCTGCTGTATTGCAGTTGTAATTCACTGACTGCCCCAACCCCCAAATCTCCCCATTATGGCTGAAGTGGACCCAGCCCTGCAGGTGGCTCAGGGCCCAGTATTACTCTTGAAGGCCTCTTTTAGACTGAATGAATTCTCATTCTCCTCACACTTACAGAGACTAAAAAAGAACACTATACCCACAGTGGTGTCTGCGTCTGCAATGCAAAGATGCCAAATGAGTACCATCTGGATCTGGAGCAATGAAATATGTCTCGTTCCCTGATGTAATGGAGGGAGAGGCACAAGTGGTCTGCACGCTTCACCGCTGTCACATCAGGCTACCAATTCCTATCTTGGCTCTAATACAGTATACTTAACTAGCATAGGGCAGGTAGGCTTTCCTACTACCATTTCATACTCAGCACTGCATTATTTGCAGTGACATGTTAAACCACTGTTTCCTTTAATGAGGGGGGGGAGAAATATGTAAAACCTGGTGATAACTGTTGTAGTCCATGTTCCCAGGTAAAGGGAAACCAGGAGCTAGGCAAAGCTCTCCGTCCATCATCTCAGGCTTGATGAACTCCTCCAGGTAGGTTCGGCACAGTCTGCGGTCCCAGTCATCTGTGATGTGTCCCCCATACATGATCTCACCAAAAAGGTAGCGGAGGTCGTCGTAGGGCACCTGGAAACAATAAGCAATTCTGCAGCTGAACGAAATATTTAACCAAAATACAAATTATTTCATACGTTATTAAAATAGAAGGATAGCTGTCACCATTCATTACTGCCGCAGCTGAGTATTGCCAGACAGTGATGGATGGGAGGTCCACACTTTCTGCTGAATTACCAGTTGCAGTTTTCAGCAGAGTTTACAGTACACAGCACCAGTCTGTTGTACGTCAGGCTTTAAATCGTATTAAGTACCATTACACCACTGATGTTGTTTTATCTTTTTTATACACAGTATCTTCTTTTTAAGTGACCTTGGGATTGTGAAAATCACTTTATAAACGTACTATTTGTGGCTGCTGACCAGTGTCTTCACCAACATTTGAAGCTTCTGCTTATACAGTATGTTTGATGATATTGCCAAAAACAGTGGCATGTGACATGCTCTGCCAACTCAATCACCCTGGCCATGCATTTGATGGGTTCAGGTTGTCCGTTCATAAATATCAATGATTGGTTGGAACTGTGTTTGTTTCAGTAATGTGTTCTATAAAGCAATGTTCCTTGGTGACAGTTCACTCTGACATTGTCTCAATGGTGCTGAAATAAAATAATTTAATTGCCAGTTTTTATCATATACGTCATAATTTTTGATTTTTAAAGAAACAGGTACCATGGTGCTATCATCCCCATGGTAGCAAAAAGAAGAAAAACTTTAAGTTCTGCTTAATTCAAAGCAACACGTGCGCAATAAAGCGGCCACATAAGTAGAGGTACTTATAGATAGCAATCTAAAATGGACTGATGATCACTGATCAATCAGTGGAACAAATAAGGTAAATATATATCCATAAACCTGTACACTATTAATATATATGTGAAATGCTATGGCGAATATACTGTAATAAACGATGTCCTTTCATCATTAGTCTATTAAGGGTAACTCTACTTCTGTATTCTGATTTAAACAAGATGTATTTAGGACACAAACTCTAAAAACACTTTTGATGAAAAATGTTCCAGAATGACCAAATAGCCAAGCTACTGTTGTTTGGGAGAAATAAAATATTGATCAGTCATATGCAATATTTAATATTTAAAACATGTTGTTTAATTCTAAGTAGATGGGTTATTAATAGATTTCTTTAAAGAAGAAAATACACCAAATTATTAAAAGAAATTTATATATATATATATATATATACACACACACACACACACACACACACAAGGGTAAACAAAGGCAAATTTTGAAGAGCATTAAAACTGTAGGTTTCCATATTTAGCCATTAAATAAGGTTTTTATTCATGTCCCCCTTTGTAATTGAAGGTTTGTCATTTTAGAATTTTGATAAGAGGTTTTAAATGAACCCTTTTTTAACAGAAAATACTAGAATTAGGTTGCATACAAAGCTGAATATGAACCACAAAGCTTGATAGCATTGTTCTGTGGTTCAGCAGGTTGGGACACTGTGCTTGTGACTGCAAGGTCGGACGCTCAAATCCAGTGACTGGCAGGGTGATGTCCCTGGAGGGCCCTTGAACAAGGCCCCTAATCTCATTGGCTCCAGGGACAGACTAACCCTGATTTGTCAAGTGCTTGTTGCTCTAGCAATACATTGTAAATATCATATTATATACCAGACAAAGGTTTGGACATGCCAAGCCACCTTGAAAGGAGAGTGGTGGAGGTGCTAGGTTAATCTGACCTAAATGCAGTAGAAATGGTTTGGGAGGTACAGAGAATGAAAGAAATGTGGCCACAGAGTGCTTGGCATATATGTAGGACCTCAGCTGGAAAAGCATCCCAGGAGGCCACCTCATGAAATGGGCATAGAGGAGGAAGTAGGGGCAGATAGTCCCTGGAGCAACTGGGGTTAAGGGCCCAAAGTTAGGTTCACCCTGCTGACCCAGGGATTCAACTGGCACCTTTCTAAGTAACAACTCACAGAGTACCCCCCCCAAAATAAAATCAATGTTTTTTTAGTCAGTGCATAATTACATATATGTTACATATTTATAGTTGTGATGTCTTTGATGATATAATTATTCTAAAACACAGACAATAGTACAAATAAACATTTTTATGGGCAGGTGTGTACAAACTTTTGAGTGGTACCGTGTGTGTGTGTGCATGTATGTATGTGTGTGTATATAAACTTAATGTGCTTAAAGGCTAAAAGCGATGAGGTCAAATTTAAAAATAATTTACAAATACTGTGAGGTATTTGCACCCCGTCCTGTTTCTGACAGTCAATAATACTCTCACCTTGAGGTATTAAAGGTACAAAGGTATACAGTGGTAGTACAGAGATGATAGATCCAGTCAAGTATAACCTTAATAACAGCACTTAGATCTGCCTGAATTAGAAATTCTTCCGAATTTTACCAAAATGCATAATTCAATATAGATGCTGTGTGCTGAAGTAGTAAGTTTAGTCACACCTACAGTCAACACATTTATCAATTTCTGCGGTCAAAAAAAGCAGTTGAATATTTACTATAATAAAACTTCAGTCACACTGATGTGAAACATGTCACCTTAGCACAGAGGTTTCTACAACATTTTAGATTATGGAAAAAAAAATTGCCTGGCGGGACCAAGTTGTTGATGACAAGGCATTGCAGATATTGAATTTCCTAATTATTGAAGTTCGGTTCAGTTATAAAGTTATGAGCTGAAACAGAGCTGAAAATGCCTCCGGCTGACATTTCGCTGTATTTTGCACTTAATTTGATATACCTCTGTAGCTAGTGTGTGCCTCTTACCTTTGCATTGGCTTCCAGGTAGTTGTAAAGCACATTCACAGAAATTGTCAAGTCTCCAGTGTTGAAGGGATAACTTCTGTTCCAGCCCTGTGGTCCAAATTTCCTCCTCTCTGCCACGACCGCGTGAAAGTAGCACAATGCAAAGAGGATGCCTTTAAACTCATTCTCCTTGGCACACATTTCCAGCGTGTCCTGAAAAATAAAATCAATGTTAATAAAATGATTTTTAAAAATGATTTTACAGCCGTAAAAAATCTCAAGGTATTGCTAATGGCCTCAAAGTAGAAAGCTGTTCTTTGTCATTTGTTTCCAGTTACAAAACCATCAACGATACAGTAAATGTCTATAGATAGATGAATAATTATAAGCCAATAGAGCCAAGGATTAAAATCCCTTTTAACTGTTAATATCAGTACTTCAAGCTTTCAGATTTCTGAAGGCTAGTTGTTTTATGACTTAAATGCAAACCAATCACAAAATCCACATTTATTTTTTCCAGTAAAATAATGAGTTAAACTTCTAATGGCAGCTTAATGGCAGTTTTGATAAAGGGTTATTCATCATTGGCACTTGTAAATGTAAGAACTTCATTATCAAATATTTAATAAAGAGTTGTGTTTTAAGGGCTTATCTTTGTTGTTCCAGGCCACAAGCATAGAAATAATATAAAATACAATCTGAAGAGTTTAAAATAAAGTATCAAGGCTAAAGATTGAGAAGCATGTTCATTAAAGCGGCCAGTTAAGGTTTAAAACTTATACCCAGTGACGAATAAGCTTTTGGATATATTAACGTAAATAAATTCATATTAATACAATTAAATAACACTCATTGTTAGTGTTCCAGCTAATTGAATTTTCATTTGGCACAGAGTATGTATAGTGTCATTGTAAAACATTTTACGTTATGCTTTCCTTGATAAACTACTGATATTATTAGTGTGACACACGTAACTCATTTTTATAACGTAAAAGGGACCAGTGGAATAAAACAAAATACTCAATACAATGCGATTTTTGTTTGCCATATAGTTGTGAAATTGCGTAAGCAGAGACTTATAGCATTTGATTATCGTCCCATTGATTAGCTATCAAACAACTGGGAAGAGAGGAATGTCGTCTTGTTATCTCAGGATGCTGTGCCATCAGATAAGATAACAGCTTAAACTGTAGCCTCCAATTGCTCATGAGCATATACTGAGAAAAGGGTTCTGTGATTGGTTGATAACATACAATATCAAGAGGAAGAGTAAACTATAATCGAAATAGCTGGCAGCTCTTGGAATTTCACTGTATTTTTAATATGTTATTTATAATTACTAATTTACAGTCATTTTCTAAATTCCAGTCATCACTGACAACCATATCTGGCAGTACACATGGGTTGAACTTCCAACTGCATGATAATTTTTGGAAAAGAAAAAAAATGCTGTGATGAATTTACATTTTAAGTCACATGAATGCAAGGGTTGAAGGATACCTGGTTGAAATTGTCGAGCGCCTTGTGTAAGTTGGCGTGCATCCCAGTAGGAGGCTCATTGGTGATCTTGATGGAGTTCTCCAGGATACCCTGAGGGATGATGTGTCCCTCGGGTGAGGCGGAAGGCTCGGCGCTGATGAAAATGCGGAAGTCTGCGTGGCCTCCATCGCCGTGCTGCTCCACCTTCTTCTCCAGAGTGCTCAGCCATTTAGCCACCAGATGGATGTTCTGGCAGTGGAAGGATCAGAACAGAAGACAGTCAATCAGTAAGCCAGTGACCAGCACAGCATACACTCATAAATACTCCGCTAGTGTTAGAGGTTTAATTCACAATTTTAAAAAACAACATTTTTCAACTGACTGAGAGAACTCTTCTGGTAGTAGGACTATATATGCAGTGTCGCTGCCCTTAATGTGCAATTACAGCTGCTTATACCACAAGGTATTTGGTTTATGCTTATGAGCCACTACAATCTCAATAAAAATGCTACTAAAATATATAAACGTATTTCTTATTGCAGGTCATCCTGAGAGGTGCAAGAGGCTGCTTCACCACACACTTGTCATTTCTGTAATTTAATAATAATTTAATAATTTAATTGAATTGCATTAATTGTAATTTCATACCGTTACAGGGGCATTTCAACAACTGGAGGAATAATATGTACAAATGTTTTTAAGCAATATCTTGGGATCTGCTCCATTGTGCAGGGTGAAAGCTGAGGAGTGCACAAAGCAACGCACAATTAAATGTATGCAAAATGAAGAACGATAAGTGCAGTTTATTTTAGACCATGGAAATGTTCAAATAATACATATATCTATAAGTATCTGTGCCCACAGTACTAGATACAGCTAGCTAGTACCGGATACACTCCAGTTTCGTCCTCAGAGTTTATTCAATGAGTTATTTGTTCAATGAAGTCTTTCTGCACACTCCTGTTGTAATCAGCAATATTTTTTGCACTTAGTGCCTTCTTGTTAACTTTAAGGAGTCTGGCCATTCCTCTCTGACCTTACTAATTAACAAGGTATTTCTGCCCACTATAACACCACTGACTGGATGTTTTTTTTTCCCCCAGTCGCTTTCTTTTTTTTGTAAACTCTAGACAAGGGATCACCAACATGGTGCCCGCGGGCACCAGGATGCCCCCAAGGACCACATGAGTAGCCCACGGGACTGATCTAAAAATAGCACAACTCACCAGTGAGCAGCGTCTAAAATTTTATTTAATCCTATTGCTATTCTTCTTTAATCACATTTGCATTCATATAGATTTGAAAATGACAATATCTAAAATAAAGCATTTAAAACATGTTTATTATACATGAAGTTTAGGAGGGCGTTTCAAACTGATAGCCCATTGTATGGCTCAGTACCCGTGAAGTAGCTCAGTATCAAAAAGGTTGGTGACCTCTGCTGTAGACAGTGTAACTCCCAGGAATGTGACTGTCTATGGAACCACCATATCTGACGCTGACAATTCTACTATTAGCTTAACTGCATAGATCAGACATCTTAGCCATTGCAATGCTTACTCAAATAGTTTGTTAAGCTATGAAGTGCCACAACTACACGAGGAGCATGCTGTTTACGTTCACAGGCATACCTATTAGCCATTGAAAAGACAAACTTTATTGATTCCAGGGGGATATTCATTAAAGACTTGCATTCCTACAAGCCAAAATCAACCCAACGACCTAAGAATCGCAGTACTCATGCTACTACAGGCTGCTGTACCACGTGAGCTATTAATGGTCAGCTAGAAATACGATTAGAATATAGTTTCTTATAGTTGTAGTACCTATCACATTAACACCATAAATGCAGCAGGTTGACACTCAGATTTATTTTTTATGGCCCTGTATATACATTACGGTATGATAAAATTAATGGCAAGAGTTAAACAGAACATTTAAGCATTATTCCAATCTACCCTTTTGCATCATGACTTCAATATATAGCAAGGCAAGCATCAAAAATTAAACGCAACCTTTTTTTGGAGTTTTGCAAAAGCCGGAGATGACACGCAAAGGCCAGCAGACAGCAGACAAAAGGTTTAGTAACACATAAGTGTATAACATACATGTACAGTGCTGGATAGTGAACACCAAGTGTGATTAGGGCAGCCTCTCATGTGATATCACGCCATGATCTTTGCATCTCGTGTTTCTTGTATTTTTTCAATTTCCACTTTATTATTATTATTATTATTATTATTATGGTTTACTATACCTGTTTTATCCAGTAGCAGTTTCTGAATTTAAACAATGCCCGATTTCACAGGAAGATACAAAGGTATTTGTGGATCACAAAAGACAAATATACTCTGCAGTCATCCAATTATTAGCGTCCTTTTGGTTCTGAGATTTAAGCCATACTGCAGGGGAAAGGGTGCAAACTGAAATAACTGCATATAAATATATAGATTAATGCATTCCATAACATTTGAACAAAGTAGTTACATTTGCTGCTCTTTCTTAATAAGAAAATCAGTGATGTCCACTTTAAATAATGGCAAAACTGTAAATTATCTGTGGATCACAAAAACATGAAAAACACATTCAGAATTACCAAAAGAGAAATCTATTGCTACTTTAGGAAATTACAGAAATGATGGATGCCATGATGAAAAAAGATGGGCCACAGCCCTAAATGTAGCGATTTCTAATTTTAAAAGGCCATCTGCTATTCTTCTCAGCCAAGTGAACAAGATTCCAGCTCTCTGTGCCCTAAAGGCATTTTATTCATTTTCAACACCTCTGATGCCCCTCAGCTTTGTGGGCCTAGCAGTAAAATCCCTAATAAAAATCCCTATAAGTTTCAAGGTCTACAATAATACAATTTAAACACTCATTTATTGGGATGTCTTTCTGAACACCATTCAGCCACATTGATAAAATAACACAGGCACACAAATAAATAACGGTACAATATAGCAAAACATAAAATCAAACTATTTCTTCCCAAAACATTCTTCCCAATCTTCCAAAAGACACTTGTGGCAACTAACCATTATTATGTTTTTAAGAAAGTGTTTGGATATTTACAATAGATAAAGAATTTTATAAAACTAAATGGCCTTTCATGGTAAAAACAATAATCACTGATTGTGATGATCCATAGAAACTATAACACTATAGTGGATGATACCACTTGTGTGAAACAATAAAACTAACACAAAACCTGTTTCCCCAAAAAAAAAAAAAAACAACTTACGTGTACATCAGCACAGATGTAACAACGAGGTTTGGCATAATTTCAAATAGCCCTTTTCAGTAGCAATGGTTATGTGAGCTGGAGACTATTCTGTAAAATATAAGTCCTGTTTACTTATCGCATGCTTGCCCTACAGGACACAGAGCAGCTGTGCTGCGCCATGACAAATGTGGCACAACTGAAGATTGACAAAGTGAATAAGACAGCGAGGAAGATTGGAGCGACAGTAGTAAACTAAGCTGAGGGCACTTTCTGGTGCAGTTCACCACATCAAGAGATGGCGTAAATTTAAAAAGTCCACAACTCGGCCTATCGTTAACACAAACACAAAAGATAAACAAAGAAATATTCTGTGGTTCTAATAAAAAGATTCTACTTACTAGTATTTAACCTTTAATGTGCATATATGTATTTCTGTGTATGTACATGTGACTGCATTACCTGTGAAATGGATACAGTATTTGTTGCATCGACTTTGAGAAACAATTCATAAATTTTACTGTCAGACTTGAATAGCTAAAAAGTGTAACATTGATAAATTTAATAAATAAATAGGCAGTTATACAAACAAACAAATAAACAGAAGGTTATTACACATTTAATGAATACAAGTTTAATAGTTATAATCCTAGTTTGTATAATCCTAGCTATAATCCTGTTTTTTAAGTTCTAATGCTGAATTTAAAGTATATACGCAAAAGTTCTTTAAATTGTTTACTGAAAAATCCATGTTTATTATCAGCCAATTACAACAATGCAACTTATATTCTAAACAGGCAAAAGCAGCTGAATATGTGCTAGCATATAAACAGTCAGTTAATTACAGCAGAAAAGCTAGTTATTCCTGTGATACTCAAACATGGCTTAAAGGCACATAGCTTTAGATCTGGCAACAGCAGGCTTTCTCTAATTAACAGCTGCTGCTTAACTATTCAGCTGCCTACATATAGTTTTATTCTTGTAATAAATGAAATAACTCTTTGGATTTTTGCATCATTGTTTGGTTGGTATTTGAAGAAGCATACACATCGATCAGCCATAACATTAAAACCACCTGGCCAATATTGCGTAGGTCCCCCTGGTCCTGCAAGAACAGCTTTGAATCATCATGGTGTCCAGTGGCATTTGCCACCAAGATGTTAACAACAGATTATTTAAGTCCTTTAAGTTGTGAGGTGGGGCCTCCATGGATTGGACTCATTTGTCCAACACATCCCGGAGATGCTTGATCAGATTAATCATGAGGTCTGGGGAATTTGGAGGCCAAATCAACACCTTGAACTCTTTTTCATGTTCCTCAAACCAGCCTTGATCAAATTTTGCAGTATGGCAGGATGCATAATCCCATTGAAAGCTGCCACTGCCATTAGGGAATACCGTTGCCATGAAGGAGTATATTCTACTTGGTCTGCAGCAATGTTTAGGTAAGGTTGCATGTGTCAAAGTATCATCTACGTCAATACCAGGACCCAAGGCTTCCCAGCAGAACATTGCCCAGAGCATCACACTGCCTCTGCTAGCTTGCCTTCTATCCATAGTGCTTCCTGGTATCATCACTTCCCCAGGTAAACGATGCACACATAGCTGGCCTACACGATGTAAAACAAAATGTTGCTCATCTGAACAGACCACCTTCCACTTCCCCATGGTCTAATTCTCATGCTCATGTGCCCATTGTAGCTGCTTGTGGCAGTCGACAGGGGTCAGCATGGGCACTCTGACTGGTCTGTGGCTTTGCAGCCCCATACGCTGAAAGCCGCAATACACCATGTGTTCTGACACATTTTTACCATAACCAGAAGACTTTTTCCTGCAATCTGTGCTATAGTAGCTCTCCTGTGAGATCGGACCAGATGGGCTAGACTTTGCTCTGCACACGCATAAACGAGCCTTGCGCACCCATGACCCTGTTGGTAGTTCACAAGTTGGCCCTCCTTGGACCATGTTTGGTAGGTACTAACCACTGTATACCAGAAGCACCCCACAATACTCACCCTTTTGGAGATGC